AACTGCCGTAGTGCCCACTTTCGAATGTTAGTATTGTCCCAAAAGGAACACTTACCGGAAATGACGAGCGGGATGAGCGTGACGAACGCGACACACGTGAACGCGATTTTCCAGCCCATAATCTAAAATTGTCACGAAGCTATCATTTAGCTCTAGAGTGTTTAATAACTTACTAGCGTTCACATTTATAAACGTGCTCGTCCCAATGCTGGCTTAACGTGCTAGGTAGCTAGGTAGCAATTAACATGTAATGTTACGCTAAATTTACTCGCCAAATAATTATGGTCGGCTTCAGTCAGTGAGGGACATGTAAGAGATGCATTACACAACAGTACAATGTATTAAAAAAATGAAAAACCCGACGTCCCTGGTCCCTCCCCTTCCGCTTTGTAGTCAAGATGGCGTCCGTTTAGGTGCGAGTAGTGTCCATCATTCCACACTGAATTTTTTGACCGTTTTAGGGGGTCATCTAGTGTTATCTACACTATATACTTAAAACTAAGTGTTTGAAGTGTGCAGTAGGCGGAATGAGACACAGCCCTTGTCTCCTTTAGTTTAGACCCGCCCACCAAGCTCCTCGATTGGCTCTGCCGGTTCTTGTGTGATTGGCCGGCCGTCCCCGCTGTCACTCCCATCTTGCTTGCACACCGGTCCTGCTAGTTGCCCAGGAGTCCTCATTAATCTGCCACTGTAAATTGGGCGTTTGTTCTGCCTGGGTCCCGTCAGCTAGGAGGATTCATTTACATTAATGTTTGAATCGGTGTCCATGTGCGTATGTGTGCGTTTGTCGTTTTACCCGCTTGTGTGGTGCAGGCTATCGGACAGAAATATCCAGGCTCCAGATGGCCAGGTACTGCGGGCACCAGAATTGAGGACGCTCAGGAGGAACTATAATGTCATTGTTAACATATTTATTTTTGTTGTTGTTGATATATTTCTGTAAAAAATGGTTTACATTCACGTTGTTGTAGTCCTTGATAGTGTTAGTGGGAGCGGCTTGCGGAGCTGTGCATTGTGGGAGTTGTTTTTCTTTAAGACAAATGCGCCCTAAAGTCACTTTCTGTCTTTTCTCGGTCAAATAGGCACCAAATTCAAAATTTATGTTACATTTCGACTACATATATATATATAACCCACTTTCAATAAAGATTAATGTTTCCACGGGTGAAGTGCTTCTTTAAGGAGCTGTAGCCTGTTTTATAAAGTGTCACTCACCTGTAGGGACACTCCTCTCCTCTCTTACACTCTCCCTTCACCCAGAAGGAGCAGATGTGCGGCCGGTTCCTCTTGTAATATGGTGTGGTCCGGGCTAGTTTCAGCAACATATCACTAGAGCTGGGCGCTTTACCGAGCTGGCCCACCGGCCGCGTGCCATCAGAGTTGGCTATCTGAGAACAAAGAGACATGAGGGATGAATGACAAAAAAATTCCAACCTTAGAAAAAACAAACTACAAAAGGGATGTCCTGTTTTGGTTTAGCTGATACTCGTTATTTAATGGTGTTCAGGGAAACCGTACAAGCTAGTTTTAGCTAACGCAACTGTGTGAAAATCACAATAAACATTTATCTGAACCAGAAAGCAATTATACCTCTCTCTCCATGTTCTGTGTGTAGTACTCTTTGTTCACATCTGACTTAGGAACCTCATCTTTAACGGACAGCCCAGTGTCTCTGACCTGGATAGGCAAACCTGTAAAAGAGGTAAAAAGGTTTAAAGAGGGTTTAAACTCAGATGGGTAAATGCTTAAGCAAGCCCAAACAAAAGAAATGTCCAGGCGAAATTATGATGATGATTATCAGCCACATAAACTCACCATACTCCAGGTCCAACAGACATGTCTGACAAACATTCTTCATTTTACTGCAGGTCTGACAGACCTCTGTCTTCTTGAAACGCATCCGTGTCCCTGGACACCACCGGAACACAGTAAACGGTCGAGCGCAGATCTGATGGGCAAAGAATGAAAAATAAATCATATTCCTGTATGGAATATAGTGTCACAAGTTTATGTTAAACTACGTTGTATGCTGCATAACCAAGAAGAAACATATTAATGCAAAACATACCTTGCATTCTTTCCCATACTTCTCCTTGGTCTGTAAAAAAACAAGCACATTTGAATTTGAATCAATTGGCATCAACAGCACAAGAAAATAACCTCGAGTTCATTACGATGACACAGCAATGCCCACTCACCATACGGATGTAAGGGTTTTCTCCTAAACATGTCTGACACAGAATCGGAAAATCCTGGGAGACAAAGGAAAACAAACAGTCATTTAGTAAAAACCAAGCGCCCTATCTGTTATCCATCCAACAGTCCTCTGATTTTATCCGAAGCAGCAACTCGGCCTCCATTCTGTGCTTCACTTTCTGCTGTGGGCACCTTGGCGGAGTCACATGTGTGAATACAGCGAGTGCAACGGGACTTGCTCACTCATACTTTGCCATCTGTTGAAGGATGCTGTTTCCATCCAAGTGCGAGCTGCAGAAAATGACCTTGCCTTAATCCATCCCAGTGACAGCATCGGCCAAACACCTAAATATAAGCAGCTCTGGTGGCTCAAACGTCAACTACCTAGTCTAGGGTTGCAAAGTTTATATTCTGCTGTCTTGAGAAAACCAACATTGGCCAAAGGCCCTGTTGTGTCATGGCTCAAGAGAGGAAACTTCATTTGTTGCCTTATATAGTCGGGTTATGGACCCTATAGAGGTTCACATAGGCAAAGGCTTGATGCTCAATTAATACGCTGTTTAGATTCGGTAGATGTATAACATTTTGAGTTTAGCTCATATTTAAGGTTGAACTACGATGATCAGCTTCTCTGTATGATGAGGACTGACAAAACGACAAGCTTGGATGATATAATTTGTGTGGTTTATAACACAGTTGTCTTTATTTCCATAAGACTTCAGATAAAGTTATCAATGGTCCATTTCGAGGAGCTCCTGCTCAGCTAACATTACAGGTTCAAGCTTCAGGATACGGACGCACATTATCGAGGACCGAATCCAAAAACAACAGGTTTTATTTAGTCCCGGGTCGGCTCGGTTCTGCACAACCCAGTTATGAGTGAAACTCGTTTGCAGACTAACATGAATTCAACTTCTTTTTATTATTGTTAGCCTGCTACTGCTAGCCTCCATTAGCTCAGACAGCTAACTTTAGCACAAAACACGTTAAGGCCTCATAAAGCGACACTTTCTTTCTGAAGGCCAATCCCAGGCGTCCTCCTCTGTGTGCCACTGTCGCTGGCTTCAGACAAACGGTGGTGTTTTATGAATGAACGTCGACAGGCAGACGCATTGTTAAGGAAGACAGCAGCCACGCTTGCACTGGTAGCTAACAGGAGGCTAACCTGGCAAACCCGCCAAAGTCCGCGGCGAACTGGCGCGTTTAAATAAAAACGTCCAGTCCTCAAATTTAACCCGACTTTGGCGTGTTTCATTCACACTACCCGCCCGGCGAACCGCGAAGCCGATTAAACGTACCGCGTCTTCCCAGTTCTGTCTGTTGTACGTGTTGGAGCCCAGCGACGTCGCCATTTTGCGGAGCGTGAGCCAAACAAGCGACGACACAAGAGGTGTCAGACCACAATGCACCGCGCCAGAGAGCCACGTCTCACCTTTGGGTGTCGCCCTATTTCAAGAAACTATCAGACGTAACCTGATTAAGAGAAATAGTAAAGAGAAGTACATATGTGTGAAGGGAATTGCATGTTTTCTATGCAGCATAGATGGAAAGCTGTGTGTGTGTGTGTGT